TTAAAGACGGGGTTTCACCATGTTTGTCAGGCTGGTCTTGAACTCCCGACCTCAGGTGATCCGCCCGCCTTGGCCTCCAAAGTGCTTGGATTACAGGCGTGAGCCACTACGCCCGGCATGTTTTTGTTTTTTAATAAAAGCTACTAAGCTGGAATCTTCAGTGGTGGGAACTGGAATTCTATATCCCAAACCAAAAGCAACTCCTAATGTGCTCTTACTTTAATGAAAACGTGGCTCTGTCCTGAAGGCGCTGCTCCCTTGAGCCCCCTTGATGGAGCTGGCTCTTTGCCTCACCCACCAGGCCTGGGCCAGGAGATGAACTTGGGTCCTCCTAGCTCCCACCTGCTCATGCTCTGTTGAGACTCTGGATGTGCTATCCTTTCTGCCCTTTGTAAAATGGTGCCTGAGCTTCTGGTGACTGATTCTGTTAATCTTAGCCTTCCTCTCCACCTAGCTCCGGTCAGCTTTCCTGTGGTTTCAGGGTTTACATGCTGAGCTGTCACAGTCTACTCTGATCTCCAGCAAACTCTCCTGAATCCTGCTTCCCACGACCCTCTCTGCTGCCAGGACCCTCTCCTCACAAGTGTCAAAATCAGAATAAAAGCATGGAGACAAGGCTCTGAATTTGATGTTTTATTTGGGAAGAAAGAATTGCAATGTGAGTCATACATGCAATCTCGGTGGTCTTTGGTATGTCTGAGGAACAAAGAGAAGGTTCGAGGTTTTATTGGAAAAGAAGAAATGTTACGTACGGTGCTGGGAGAAAGATGATTGGCACTGTCAGGGTTCGGGGAGCTGGCAGGCTCTGACTGGTGAGCGAAGGTGATGGGTAAAATGAGTCCCGAAGCTGCAGCACGTGGTCTCGGAAGCTAGAGATAAAACTGGTCTCAGGTTACAACAAGCAGTTCCAGCAGTTGGGCTTGCAGAGAGTTACATTCCTGGAGCAACGTTTTGTACCCTGAGTGCTTTTCCTACCTGGCTGCTGTTTTAGTTTGATATGATAACAGTGGCCCATTTCGGATGATCAGCGGTAACGCAAGTAACCGCCCCTCTCCGAGATCTCCCCTGCAGGCTGTCCACACTTGGCCTCCCCGGATCTCCTCCTTACTCCCTTCCCGTTGCTGTGACTGCGCCTCCTGGCATTGTTTCCCTGCTTGGTCCGCTGAGAGCCACTCTAGGAAGGACACATAAGACTCCTTTCCTCTCACCTCGGCATCCACTTGTCTTCTGCTTGCTTCTTTCAGCACTTGAACAGCTCTTGAGCCAAAAACCACATCTGGCTGGCTGGTTTGCTTTTAAATTGTTGACCCCATGGCCGGG